CCCCCCTTCACTGTTGAGGGTGGGGTTGTACATTATTTCATCTTGTCTCTCTAACAGCCTGTTACACGCTGTAAGATATCCGTGGACTCCAGTGTGAAGGAGTGACCATTTTGTGTTATAGGTGGTGGAAAATGGCTGGGGAGTAGCCAGTAGCGCTAAGTCTGCAGTGTTCCCTCTTGCCTTACTTTACAGCGTCCGACTGGTCTCTTCGATATAGTTGTTTTACAAATAAGCCCCTCACATTTGAGTCCGTACATTTAACCTTTATACCTTTGCCAGGTCGGACTTAACGTTTTACCGGCCTTTGTCTGAATGTTGATTGAGGTTTGAAGTTTGTGGCAATGTTGAAGTTTTGGAAGATCCGTCGGAGTTTTTGGGATACTCCTTGGAGAAACGGATAAGTGATTTTTTTACTCTTTAAATCCAGCCACCTATAAACAGAACCCAAAGCCTCTCATTTTATAGGTCCCACCAACCCGATGCCTTGGATCTCAACCGTGACTGAGTTAATAAAACAGCAGTGACAGACCCCAGCATAAAAATAACTGTAAAAAAATTGGACGGTGTGTAAAAAGAGTTTCTTTATTCACAAACGTTTTAGCCTTACGTATTGTAAGCTGGCAGACAGGTACCTTTCAAGCCAGTCACGATAGCTTCATTATCCACTTTCTGGCTAGGAACTGAAAATCATCGATGACGCTGTTCTTGTAAGGTGTGTTCTGCTTCGGTAGCTGATCTGTAATGCCGTTTGACAAAAAAACCCAGGTCGTATACACACAGTTACGGTAATTGTCTGAAAGGTGCGCATGCTTTCCTGGATGAAGTCGAAGAGATAATGAGTGCAGTGCTTTTCGTATGAAGAGAAGTGCGTTTTCTTTCATGTACGGAAAATGCGATGAAGTTTGGACAAAGAGGTGCTTTTGGGGATCAGGATATTAGAGAGCGTTGCCTTTTTGTACGATCAGAGTTTGGGCAGAAGAAAGAAAAGAGTAGTATTATCCGCTTTGGCTAGCTGATCCGCAGTGCCGTGTGACAAACAACCCATATGGCCATATATGTGTATATAAAGGTGGTGGAGTTGATTGTCTGAAGGGGCCTTTCTCTGGTGAATTTAAAGAGGTAAAATGGCGATGCGATGCTGTTTCGACAAATAAATAGATTGATTGGCTTTCTTAGACATAGAAAAAGGTCTGCATCAATGCAAGTATTGTGGCTTAACAACAGCACTGCAAACAAGTGAAAGCAGAATCTCTACTTTCCACTGGAGACTTAATGAATAGACACTAACCTTAGCAACAAGACGTGAGGTTTCATCGTGTAGACATTCTCAAATTTGTCGGATGTTGCTTTTCTTTTCTAGCATAAGATTTCTTCATGTTCAAACGTGTTCTCCATTCTTTCTGCCCCTCCATAGAAAACATATATTCTACATCTCTATGAGTGTGGTACAATTTTCTCTGGAAGGGGACAGACACGAAAAAGATACATCGTTTGCTAAGGTGTACGCTGAATCGGTGATCGAGAGAGTTACGTGCCCACATAACTGACTGATACGTCCAATGAGTCAATAAAAAAAAATTCATATCAACCACTTGAAAACAAAAATTGAGCAGATTAAGCAATCCAATCAAAGGACTACCCTTTAACCCTTGTTCTGCTGGTAATTTTTGCACAATATTTTAAAATAATTTTGTCACAGGTCACAGACCCTTGACTTTTTCCACCTCGTTTCGCTGCGGTGTGCAACGTATTGCACGAGAAGTACCCACAAATTACATATACATATACAGGGCACTATATAGATGGTACTGTATGCGCAACCCATATATAGGTCCCTCTGTAAACATGTATTCCATAGGAATTGCAAATGATTGCACATAATGGCATAAAATGGGGCACCGAATGTCCAAAACAAAACTTGTGCTCACAGCTATCTATCCCTACCGACACCGAAAAAACATCAACAATTTTTCGACTTCATATCTTGATTAATTTAAGGCATAGCAAACTGTCACACCCGTTTCATAGCTAATGGTCAACTAGCAAACTCATACCTTTTGGTACTTTCTGGGAAGGAAATCGCCGTAAAAATGCCTCGGGCATAGGTTGGTGCTGGTCTCGTAGGGTGTGTCAACCTCCTTCGGTAGCTGATCCGCAATACTGATCTGCAGTGTGACAAACAACCAAAGATTATTCTTGCGTACATGGTGGGGTTGATTGTCTGCACGGTACACACCTGCGTTTTTGGACGAAAAGACTCAAGTTGCTTTTGGGATTAAGAGCGCTGCTTTCCTTGGTGAAAAGAAGTAAAATGAGGTCTTAGTGGGTTTAGGAGATTCCGTGTTGCTCTCTTGGAAGTGTGCGCTGCTTTCTTAGTTAAAGGTTAGCGAAATACCAAAAACTGTTACTCAAGTAACTGGATATGATTTTGGAAACGGCCAGACGTTTCAGGTAGCATCCACTACCTTTTGTCAGTGACACTAAAAGACTGCAGGAGAAATGCAGGTTTATAACCATGGGTTGGAGCTTCAAGAATCAAGTGCCCGAGAGTTCTACCCGAACCCCCCCCCCCTTCTTTTACTGTTGAGGGTGGGGTTGTACATTATTTCATATACAATGTATCGTGTTTCACCATGGCATGTAAGATATCATTGAACTCCAGTTTGTAGGAGTGACCCTTGTTGTGTTATAGGTGGTGGAAATTAGCTGGGGAGTAGACAGTAGCGCTACGTCTGCAATGTATCACACGTTAGTGTTGTGTGTGTACGAGCTTAGATTTCCTGTGTATCTACTAGTAGTTCCTGTCACGAAGTGTTTGCCTATACAAGTAAATTTCAAAATTTTGTATTTTTTCCGAAGATGTAGCTAGATCTACTGATATTTTCCATTGACATAATTAAATCGTGTAATACCTTGAGCATAATGTTTCCTTCTGTGATGTTTTTTCCTTGGATGGAATATTGTCAGAGATAGTCAGTTGTTCATAAAACACAGAAATCAAGATATAAACCAAACCAAAATTCTTTTTCATATTAGATCAGAAACAAAAGTCAGACGCGGGTTACGTTGTTAGGCTGGTCGGTTTGAAACGAAGAACGTTGACATTATGAGGAAAACGTAACGTGCCAACCGACGTCAAATGTACTACGTGGGTAATCAGGCCAACGATTTCACCTTTGACCCAGATCGTTCACCTCTGACTTCGCGAGACGAGACAAAGAACAAAGCATCCCGAGTTCCGGTTTACATGAAGAGAAAAACCATCATAAGAAGCAGGTAAGGCTTAGAAACCGGCAGCAAAGTATTCTTACAACGAGCGAAATACTTTGAGATCCTTTCTGTGGAAAAAGGATCAGAGTAAGGTAATAATTACAGGTTCGCGATAGCGGGAACCTGTTTTACGTTACCTCGATTTTATGGGCGCCGCCATTTTGTTTCCCGTCATGCAATGGGGCAGGCCAAAGTTGAGTGAAGTGCATTGTGGGACCTGTCACCGGGCCACAGTGTAAGGACGACGCCTAGCGGTATGTTTGGAAAGAGCAGTAACTGAAAGCCTACCTGGTTGTGTGTTCATTTTGGCAGGAGTGTATAGAGGCGATGGCTTTGGCGTAATATACGCTGATTGTGTTTAGGACTTGCAATTGAAGTTCAATGTAATTTTCTTCGCATGACGGGAAGGAAACATGGCGGACCTAAGGTTTTTATGATGAGATGATGAGGCTTTGGTATTAGTAGGGTGGTCTTGTGGATCTTGTCGGAGGCCGAAGCTAGGGACGACAGATTGTCCTCAAGTACAGGGTCTAGTAGGTGGGATAAGTGGCATGAAGATTTGGTATTAGTAGGGTGGTCTTGTGGATCTTGTCGGAGGCCGAAGCTAGGGACGACAGATTGTCCTCAAGTACAGGGTCAGTATGTGGGATAAATGGCATGAAGATTTGGTATTAGTAGGGTGGTCTTGTGGATCTTGTCGGAGGCCGAAGCTAGGGACGACAGATTGTCCTCAAGTACAGGGTCAGTAGGTGGGATAAGTGGCATGAAGATTTGGTATTAGTAGGGTGGTCTTGTGGATCTTGTCGAGGCGGAGCCTAGGGACGACAGATTGTCCTCAAGTGCAGTGTTAGTAAGTGGGATAAATGGCATGGAGGTTTTGGTATTAGTAGGGTTGGTCTTGTGGATCTTGTCGAGGCCGAGCCTAGGGACGACAGATTGTCCTCAAGTACAGGGTTAGTACGTTCAATTGATGAGATGAAGTTGGGGGATGTGATTTTGTCCATCTGAATATTAAGCATCCTGAAACCTGTTCTGCCTAACATTCATAACATAATAGTCCTTTTTTGTCTGACCTAGGACCTAACTCTAAGAAGTGACAAACTGAGGAATGACACAGAGACTTGCTTTGGTCAAGACTTTTAGACTTGACCTCTGACCTTGCAGTGGGAGACACCTGTACTAGGTCATCTATTACAGCTGTAGAGCCAGGGAACTCTTGTTGCACATGATCATTGGATATTGTACAAAAACTATGCAGATGTCCTGCTATAAATACCATACATGCCTCCCTTGTATTTAAGATATTATTACATAGCAGTGAATCATTGAACAAATCTTATATGGCCGTTGTACTCGTTAGTTTGATAACTGGATGTACTGAATAACAGCAATCAGTTTCGATTACAATATAGACTGTATCATTCTCCAGTCTCAAAGCCTGGCTACTGGAGAAGCCAAATGTAATAAAATAATTGACAATACAATTGAACTAGTTGTTGTTACAATGACTGTCGTTCTTTATGCTCAAATGTTTTGTTGTCACTGTCCTTGTACTAGGACATATGATGGATCCAGACAATCAAACAATTTGGTCAGGGGTGGTCCTCTGGCGAATGTCTTCAGACATTATGACATTTGGTATCGATCATGCAGACTCTATTGTCTTTTGCGTCCTTACACTGGACATCGAAGAGCACGTTCAGATCGGCCTCGTCGCATCGGCTGTGCCGGGAACTGCCGTCACGTCGGTCTCGGGCGGTGTGACTGGCCTCACAGCTCTCCCAGGACCGAGAATGGATGTCCCAGGGCCGGGGATGCAGACGGCGGTTGTTTCGGGGGATGAGGGTGTGTCCGGCGGTGGCTTGACGTGGACGGTCTGCTCCCTAATGCAAGGGAAGAAGAGAAAGTGCCCAGGGAAGTACATCCCGGGCCAGATGGATGGGTGGCTGACGTGTCAGGTCCATCAGTGGTCAGCTTCCCCGGATCAGGAACGCCGGGAAGAGACGGTGCCCGTTGGCCGTCCTGTGCCCCGTTATGACCATTCTTGGCCGAGGGTCGCTGCATGTACACTGAAAAAGAAGACATGTGCCCCTTGAACAGTTTCAACCTGACAACCAAATACAACCACTGGCGACGTCGACATTGACCCAGAACATAGGTTGGGTCAACCTATACATGTACAGTACAGACAAACTCACACGGCCCATGCTGTCAAAACGGACAACTGTTCTCACACATAAACTCACTAGGATCACCACTGAATAAAAACAAACAACAAAGTAGCAAAACCTACGCATACAAAATAGAATAATAGATCCATCCCGGCCATCACATTAACTACCATTGTCACGACTTCAACGCGTCAACGCCGTCGAAAAAACAACAACTTTGGAACCTCTAGAGAATTAAAACAGCACCAAAATCCTCAGTTGGCCACATGTCTCTACCAATCGTTTATCGTAGTCTTCAGAGAAAAAGTCAGGGAATTTTCAGGGGTCGTTTTGTCTAAAATAATAACAGAAAAATAATCGTTTTCTCTTAAAAAATAAAAAAATGATCGTTTTCTCTAAAAATAATAACAAAAATAATCGTTTTGAATACAACAATAACAGTAAAGTTATCATTTTCTATATAGAATAATAACAAAAATAATCGTTTCATATGAAATAATAACAGAAAAATAATCATTTTCTATAAAGAAAATTACAGAAAAATTATCGGTTTCAATAAAAAAAAAACGGTGTACAAACCAGGCACACTGCGCAGGCTCACTTCCTGGCCCCTGCCCACAGCTCTATCGGGACCGGGAAACGGATGTCTCAGCACCGGGGACATCGGTTGTCTCGGAGGATGAAGGCGTCCGGCGGCGGCTTGACGTGAACGATCTGTGCTCTCCAAGCAGAGGTTGGTAGGGAAGATTACAACCTGCAGAAGAAATACGAGGATGTTTGTCGGGAAGGTCCAACCAATTGTATTTTAACATTAATGAAAGTCTCTCAGACAATTATGAATGACGAATCATTGGCTAAGATTACATCGCATGTCTAATTCATGTTATTTGACATATAATGTACCTGATGCAATCATTGTGCAATGAACATTTCATAGTTGACTTGAATCGGCCTGCCCAAAACAGGCTAAAACAACTGAAGATTAATTACCCCTCTGGCATGTTAGGTCATCTCCAATTTGTCACGCATTCTTTAAGTCAGGCAATTAACTCCATAGGTCAGAAAAACTGGCCCTATGTGTCAGTGTTTTGAACGTCTGAACCTAGCTGTCACTCAACCGTGCAGATGCAGGTGGCAGCTGTGTAACGTGTAACACTATATACGTGGGACTGGCGAAACATCTCCAAAGTCTCCACAACAACAACGCGGATTCAAACTTAGTAAAATAGCCAAATAGGGAGTCAATAGATTTTACAGAATGCTATGAAGTGTACATCGAAGTAAACAATAGTTGAAAGATATGTTTGTTCATTAATCAAGATGTTACAAATTCAACAACATGTTCCTCAGATCAACAGAAACGACAAATACATCGTGTGGACTTACCTCTGTTTTGGCCCCTCCGTAAAGGTCTGTTAGACCATCTCGCCGGTGAATTTGATTTTCTTCTATGAGGTGAGGGTCGTCATGGCTTAGCTGGCCTGTTGCGGGTACAGAGATTGAGAGAGGAAAAAAACATGATTATGAATAAATTGAAGTCATTTCTTGGCGTTTAAAAGACTCAATAGAAACTCCGATTGGAGTCTCTGCCGGTACCGGTAGAAATCCCGACCGGAGTCTCAGCCATTACAATCACTAATCTTTTAGGATATGTTATCAAGTTATAGCAATAGAACTCTACCAGGTTGGAGTCTCTACCCAGCCTCAGTACTGTTATAAAGAATTAGCCTGGGTGCCAGACGCTAGCGTTCATAAAGCGATAGATTTTTTTTGTGTCCGCTACTGTATCCGCCGCCCAACCCCAGGCTGCCCCAAACCTAGCCGTGGCGACTCTTGACTCGGGCTTACATTGCATTACCCTCAGCAAGAGTCGTGGAAAGATCCATTGGCAGAACTGCACATTTCCCGTTGGCTGCTCGATGCTCCGTTTTTGACCCGGTTTTTTGCTGTCCCGAGCTTCCCTACAATATAACTCCACAATTGGCCGGGTTGCCGATGTTCAGATCGGCCTAAATATTCCACAGCGCGACGGGAAAGTACTAAAATAGCTAGTCGGTACATCCGCGCCGCCATTTTGGATATAGTCCGGAATGTCCGCTACCGCCGTCGGGAACGCTCGGTAGGCTTTCCGGTTATGATCGGAGAGTTTTCGGTCCCGCTTCGGTAATCGTGGCGCTACCGAGCGTTCCCGACGGCGGTAGCGGACATTCCCGACTATATCCAAGATGGCGGCGCGGAT